CCTCCAACGCTGTTCTCTGCTGAATAGCAGACTGCTATAACTCGAATATAATAGTGACTGGCTAGGAGCATCACTGGCTGTGTGGCGTATGGCGTGGTTGTCGCGTACGCGTCGCGTATCGATTGATGAGAAGACATACAAGGAAATCCGCTAGCACAGCTATCTAGCCTCCTTTTCAATAGAAACAGCAAATTTGATCTCGATGATCAAACAGATTCCATTTACTTTTACCTTCAGCACAGGTGTAGCACCAGGAACTTCATCAACCCCCGAAGAGAACGAGTTACCGATCAACCTTTGCACGGTAAATTCCCGATCGGCGACAACCAACAATTCAAGAAAGATCAAAAGCACCACACAATAACTCTCCACTGTTAACTCACTTCGTCATCCTCTTCAGGCTCCTCATCACTCGGCCCATCGGCAACGACCCTTTTCTTCGCGTTTTCGTAGTCAAGTCTGGCCTTGGGCTTCTCTTTGAAGCAAGCGAAATGCAGCAAATTATAGGCCTTGAATATGTGCATGCTCCAGTTTTATGGAAGAACGGTAAGAAAAGTACTCACACTCCACCAACCTTTTCTGCATCCACTCGATCAACGGTCTTGGAAAAGCGAGCCTTGGCAATTGACGTCGACAGACGAATCAGGGTTTCTAACTGCCGAGCAGTTATAGGCATTGTCTAAAAAATCGACTTATTGTTTTGAAGCTGCTTTCGCATGATAACTGCTGAATAACGCCGTAATTCGTGCTCTGGAGGTTAGCATCCACTCAAACTCGCATCTCCCGCTAACCGAGCGAGCGCGCTCTCCATTACGCCACCGGGGTTGCTCTTCCTAAGCTGGAAAGCGGACTCGCCCGGTTAGCGAGAGATGGGAGTGCAAGTCCTGCCTGAGGTCTGGTTTTTGCTCATAACTAACGCTTTTTCACCAGGGCTTACCCTTTCTCTATCCGTCTTCGATGTGTCGAATGACCTGATTTCCGCGTAAACCTCTGAAATGAATTCCGTAGCTTGTTCGGTGAGTTTTGGCTTCATCGATCGAGCAAGATGGATATATTTCCTGACGAACTCGACTGATAGCACTTTTGCGCTGAAATAATTAAGAGTAAACAGAGTACATCGAACTTAATAAAC